CATTTATTTATCCTAATTTAGAGAAACAGCAAGCTGAAGCAAGCTGCTGTTAGGATTCGGGGGCAGCTGAAGTGCTTTTTAAAAGGAAGGAAAACATAAACTCAATAAAAAATGACTCTCAAAAGGGAAAATAAGTATGCTAAGAATGTTTGGGGAGTTTAAAATATCTTTTTCTACATTCACCGATTGGACTTTCTTATATTTTAAAACATATTTCTTGAATAGAATCTTTTCTATATGGCTATATGTATATATTTATAATTATATAATTTACAATGTATTTATAATTTCCCAATTTTATAATGAAATCAGATGCATATTTATATGTTGAATGACACCTGAGGATACAGGCAAACTGTATTGTTCTTTAAGAATTATCCATCAGCTATGTAATAGACTATCACAAATTTAGTGGTTTAAACCGACAAATCCATGTATTATCTCACAGATTTTTGGGGTCAGGAGTGTGGGCAAGGTTCAGCTGTGTTCTCTGCTTCAGGATCTCACCTAACTGAAATAAAAGCTTTGCTGATATTGCATTCTTATTTACAGGCTTCACTGGAGAAGAATCCACTTACAAGCTCACTGAGGTTATTGGCAGAATTCATTTTCTTGTGGCCCTCTCCACAGGCACTTCATAATGTGGTTGCTTACTTCTTCAAGGCCGGCAGGAATCTCTCTCAATCAGGGGAGGACCAGCCACTCTGTTAAAGCTTTACCGGATCACATCAGGTCCAGGAAGGATAATCTCCCTTGATTAACTCAAAATCAGTTGAACTGGGATGTTAATTATATGAGAATTCCTTCATGCTTGCTGCATTCTGCAGGCCAGAAATAAGTCACAGATCCAACCCACACTTTGGGTAAGGAATTACACAGGCTGTGAACATCAGGGAACAGTAATCACAAAGAGCAAAAGTTTCAATTTAACGCAGCCCAATGTATTAGTTCATTAATTTTATGAATCATGATTTTGATATTTTATCTAAGAAGTCTACCTACCCTAAGTTTAGAAAATTTTTCTTCTATGGTTTCTTCCAAACTTTATAGTTGTTCCTTTTACATTTAGGTTTACAATCAATTTAGAGTTCATTTTGTGTATGATATGAAATAAGGACCTGAATCATCTTTATAAATTTGAATATCTTATTGTACCAACTTCATTTGTTGACAACAAGATCATTTTGCCATTGATTACCTTGACACTTTTATGGAAATCAATTGACCATGAATGTAATTGTTAATCAGGGCTCTCAATTTTGTTTCATCCACATATGTGTGTCTGCATGTGAGTACCACACTATCTTGATTATTGCAGCCTAGTAGTAAACTTTGACCTTAGGCATTGTAATGGTCCAACTTTGTTCTTTTTAAAAAAATTCTCTTTTAAAAGAAGAATTTCCATATACATTTTAGGAAAACTTTCTGAAAATAGAGCCCTCTGGCATTTGATAGGGATTGCACTGAATATAAGTCCATCTCTTCAGTGAAAAGACTCCCCTCATTCCAGATCTCAGTTGAGTTTCTCCTCCTTCCTTGCTCAGCTCTCTGATGAATTTAACATATAATTTTGACAATTTGTTCTCTGTATCCTTGTTGTTTTAGGAGGAAATTTTGCCTTTTAAACCTACTACTTGACTCCTAAGTGGGAGTGCTTACAGGTTAACTCTGAAGTATCAAATACCACATGATCAAATGAGTAAGTAACAAGCCTCCATGCCTGCTCTGTAGCGACAGGCAAAAGGGAACGTGCTTTACATAGACAGGATGCTCACTCCTCACAAAGATCACTGGATGAGGATCACATTACTATCTGCATTTTACTGACGATTGTACTCAGGCAGAGAGTAGTTTTAAAAGAGTCCAAGACCAGAGATATACGAAGCCAAGAATTTGGGTTTTCCATCCTGGCAGTCTGGGTCCAAGATCCTCTGCTAAAAGCAATTATAAGTGCTATAAAAACGGAAATTGCTTCAAATCCAAGGGTAGAGGCAGATTTTAAGACCTATTAATCTTAAAAAACACTAAATAGTCATAAATGAATTAAGGAGAAAAAATGATATTCATATATGGAAAACTCTGGAATCTGTAATGGAAAATACATGTTCTTATGAAATACCCAAGGGATATTTACAAAATCCCTGAATATTTTAGTTAAATAGACTCAAGAGAGAAACTTCATCAAAGACCTAAGCATGAGAGAGAAGTTTGATAGCTATGAATAATGAGCTGAAAAGCCTGCATGGGAAAAAAGGGGGATTTAAACCTAGATGACCTCCGTAACCTGATTTTACATTTTAGAAATTGTAGAACAATGATTCCATCCAGGAGATGTACGTGTGAATTTGTGTGTGTGTCTTCATGAACTTGTAAACAAAGCTATTAGTTTTCATCAACCAAAGTTTAGGGTATACTCCATTCCTGCGGTTCCCAAGAAAATCATGAATACTTTTGATAGGAAAAGCTTTAATTCTATTCAGAAATCTGGTATTAAAAAAAATAAATCCATAATATCGATGATTCTACTTATGAGAAATCTCCATCTAATAGTTTAGAAATTCAGTGTATGTTCTATGTATTGGGTTTTTAAATTTTGCTAACTAATGTTGATGAACACAAATTATGTACAGTTTAAACATGGAAACCATTGCAAAACATCTCATTTGCATGCCAACAAATGAGAATTTACATTTCACGTCAACATCAGTTATGAAATAACCCAGCCCATGGCAAGGACACATAGTATATAAATAGGAGTCAATTTGAACTGTTTCGGAAGTAACGATGTTTTTCATTGAGCTCTTCCTTCAGCATACCTTGTTGCTTTCCTGGTAGATATCAGTCACAGAATTTAAAAGAAACAAGAAATTTACTGAACATTCTGAAATCAGCTGCACATAGGAGTTAAGGTCAGAATATTAAAGGAATCACAAGCAGTGATATTAGACTCTCTCTTTTAAATCTAGACATGATAACTTTACTACCAAGCATTTTTTCCATCCTAATAACAACAGAATTTTTTCTTGGCAATTTTGCCAATGGCTTCATAGCACTGGTGAACTGCATTGACCGGGTCAAGAGACAAAAGTCGTCCTCAGCTGATCAAATTCTCACAGCTCTGGCGGTCTCCAGAATTGGTTTACTCTGGGTAATATTAATAAATTGGTATGTGACTGTGCTTCCTTCAGTTTTTTGTAGTTTAGAAGTAAGAATTATTGTTTGTGTTGCCTGGACAGTAAGCAACCATTTTAGCATCTGGCTTGCTACTAGCCTCAGCATATTTTATCTGCTCAAGATAGCTAATTTCTCTTGCTGTATATTTCTTTACCTAAAGTGGAGAGTTAATAGTTTACTTCTTGTAATACTGTTGGCAACTTTGGTCTTTTTGGTTCCTCACTTTGCAGTGCTGTGCGTAGATGAGACTATGCAGACTAAAGAGTATGAAGGAAACGTCACTCGGAAGACCAAATTGAGAGATGTTGTAGGCCTTTCAAATATGACTCTATTCACGCTAATACACTTCATACCCTTTACTATGTCCCTGACATCTTTTCTGCTGTTAATCGTTTCCCTATGGAAACATCTCAAGAAGATGCAGCTTAATGGCAAAGGATACCAAGATCCTAGCACCAAGGTCCACATAAGAGCCATGCAAACTGTGCTCTCTTTTCTCCTGCTATATTCCGGTTACTTCTTGGCTCTAGTTATCTCAGTTTGGAGTTCTAATCGACTGAAGAATGAACTAGTTCTCATGATTTGCCAGGCTCTTGGAATGCTGTATCCTTCAAGCCACTCATTCATCCTGATTTGGGGAAACCAGAAGCTAAGAAAGGCCTTGAAAAATGTAAGACAGATTATAAGATTACCACACGATTAACCAAATTTTGTGAGGTAAGCAATCTAATTTTACTAAATATTGTAAGAAATTCCTCAGGATTAGGAAGCAGTGTGTATTTCACATACTTATTCTATGTTATTATCTTCAAATTGAAGAATTTATGATCTATATGCATTTTTAAGAACTGACAACTTATCTCAGAAAATCGTTGCTCTTTTCATTGTAATTAGGACCAAACCTATGTACCGCAGTGTGTGTAGATTTTTTGTTTGAACCTCCAATCTTTTGGGTGTAATGATATTCAATTCTAAATCACACATTGAGAATGTATGATTGGGATAGATGTTATTTCTCTTGAATTCTTACTTCATGGTTAGTAGAGAACAGTCAGAACTATTGTTAAGAAAAGATGCGCACAATAATATTTGAGTGGCAAACATATTTAGATTAAATTTTATATATGTGTGCAATAAACAGTACTGCAGAATACTACATTTAATTTAAATAGATGAAACGCTTAGAAAAATATCAACTTGTACTATAGGGATGAAGAACAAAGAAAAACAATCATCACCTGCTTTTAATGCTGCAATGTTTCATATGCAGTTAGAAAGTCATTTCTTATGGTTTTTAATTAAGAAGACCTCTTTCAAAGTTGAGATCTGATATCAAATTATTCAGTTTTCCTCCAAATCACCTTGGACCACTGTATTGCCAATCATGTTCTCCATCATGCTACCTAAATATTCTTTTTAAACTTCAGATAAGAACACTAAGATCTTCCCCATCTTAAAAACATATTCACAGTGAGAATACTAACAAATTATGGTACATAATTCAATTACTTTTCTGCACATATTAAAATGGTATCTGTGATGTCTATGTAATACTTATAAGGAATATCTTCAAGATCTGTCTCATTATAATCTTTTGGAAATGAAATAGAATGTTAATATATTATTGATAGCAAGTTCTATTATAAGAAAGAAATTTATAGCCTTGTTTAACAACTGAATTACATTTCTATATTGATCCTTAGTATTATGAAATTTTAACAACACTATCTAAACATGAGATAAATCATTTCCACTTTATTGATTTGTTTTTAATCATGTAGAGAACATGTTATCACCAATAGGCTTCAAAACATAAAGTGACTCAAACAAAAATACTTTTAATGTTGCTCTTTTAGCAATACTGCTGTGTCTGAGGGAGCTTCTGTAGGCAGTTGTCCCAGGCATCAGGCTGATCAAAAGTTTGCCATCTTTAACCTGTGGATTCCAAGATTGCCTTGGAGTCATCTCCATCCCAGACAGCCAGGAGGAGAAAGGTGTATGGAGCTGTAAAACAAAAGAAGTTTCTCTGTTTACAAGCACCGTGTAACTTATACATGTCACTTTGATAATCGATATATGTCCTTACTTCAGTCTTGAATATAGGTTGTTTTTTCCTATCTCTTCATAAATTCTAAAGAATTTAAGTTCAATGTAAATGTTTCTATCTTCCTAAAAACATAACTGATTCTACAGTGTGGCACTTGTGGCTTCCTCATGATTATTCCCAGGATATTTTGCTTATAACTTCTGATTTAGCTCCTACAAATATTAAGTACTAATTATTTATAGTTATTATTCTAAGACTTGGATGTGTTCTGTGAACTAGAAATAATTGCATTAAATTATTTCTATAAATCATACTGAATCAACAAAAATACTTGAGAGGCAGAAGGATCTTGTTGATGAGTAACACATAATGACTGAATTTTTAAAATATAATATTAATTTTAGTTATTATGCAATTAATTTTTATTTTAAAATATGTTTGTTCTAGCAATTACTATTCAAAATCTAAAACACTTGCATTCAAATGTATGCCTCAGGGGAGATAAAGTATAAATTTGTGGAAAATAATCTCTCTCACATTTGCATGTTTACACACCTGACTTTATCCTTTTACTCATTAGCACAAATGGAAATTTGCAGCTGCTGCCAGAGTTAAGTGGACATCATTAGCGTTTACTCTGGAAACTACATAGTGACTGACTGAAAGTAATAAGAGGAGTATACATGAATCTTGTCTCTCTTAACAGGACTGTTTGGTTTACCACTGGAATTACAATATAAGGAGAATGAAGTATTTCATGAAGATCTCAGAAACCATATCACATAATAGAATTTTGGCTTTGCTTTCTGGAATTATGATGAAAACATTTATAAAAAGCATCGTAAATGGATGTCAATCTGCAACTGTTTAACTATAAAGCTGTCCATGAGGCACAATATTAGAAATATTTTCATGGAAATGTCATTTGGAATGAAGGCCTCCTTTCTGGTCGTGGCAACAGTAGAACTCATCTTAGGAACACTATCATATCCCTATTGATTGCCTTGATACTTTTTTTGAAATCATTTGACAATGAATATAAATGTTATTCTGGGCTCTCAAATGTGTTTCATTGATCTATATGTCTGTCTTCACGAGAGAACCACACTATCCTGATTAATGCAGCCTAGTAGCAAACTTTGATATTAGGAACTGTAATCCTCCAATGTTTTTCTGCTTTTAAAATAATTCTTTTGGCTATTCTGGGTGCTTTGGTATTTCCGTATACATATTTTAGGAAGTTTTTCACTTTCTACAAATAAACCCTGCTGGAATTTGCCAGAGATTCCGCTGAATATACTGATCATCTCTTTACCTGAATAGGCTCTCCTCATTCCAGATTTCAGCTTGGTTGGTCCTCCTTCCTTGCACAGCTCTCTGATGAGTTTAAAACCGTTTGGCCATTTATCCCCTGTATCTTTGTTATTGTAGGAGGAAATTTTGTCTTTTTCAACCTGCTACATTGTACTCCTAAGTGGGAGTCCTCACAGGTTAACTCTGAAGTATCAAATACCACAGGATCCAATGAGTAAGCAACAAACCTCCATGCCTGCTCTGTGGCAGACAGGCGGAAGGGAACGTGCTTTACACAGACAGGATGCTCACTCCTCATGAAGACACTGGATGAGCATAGCATTGTTATCTGCCCTTTACCAATGATTATACTGAGGCAGAGAGTGGTTTTAAAAGAGAGTCCAAGATCAGAGACGCGTGAAGCCGAGAAGTTGGGTTTTCCATCCTGGCTGTCTGGTTCCAAGATCCTCTGCTAAAAACAATTATAAGTGCTACAGAAACTAAAATTGCAAAAAATCCAAGGGTAGAGGTTGATTTTAACATCTACTAATCTTAAAATAAAACAGTCAAAAATGAATTAAACAGAAAATACCCCAGATATTCATATTGGAAAGATCTAGAATATGCAATGGAAAACACATATTCTTTTGAAGTGCAGGAGGAATATTTACAAAATAGTTAAATATTTCAAATAAATGTTAACATTTAATATTGAATAGACTCTGAAACTTTATCAAAGACCTACGCATGAGAGAGACGTTTGATAGCTATGAATAATGGATTGAAAACCCTGCATGGGAGAAAAGGGGGATTTAAACCTAGATGAACTCCTGACTCTGATTTTCCATTTTGGAAATTATGGGACAATAATTCCATCCCTGAGCTGTATGTGTGAATTTGTGTGTGTGTGTTTATAAGCTTATAAATAAGAAATTTATACATATGTATTAGCGTTCAGCAACCAGCATTTAGGGTCTATTGGCTTTCCTGAAGTTCCCAAGAAAATCTGGGATGCTTTTGATAGGAAAAGCTTGAAATTTTTCCATAAATCTGGCATTAAAATATAAATGAATACATAGTGCTAATAATCCTAGTTATAAGCAAACTCCCTCTAAAACTTGAGACATTTGCTGTATCTTTTATCCATTGGGTTTTTAAATTTTGCTAACAACTAGTGCTGCTGAACACAAATTATGGAGAGGTTCAACAAGGAAAAAATTGCAAAACAGTATGTCCTTATTTACATACTCGCAAATGAGAATTCAGCTTTCACTTGAACATCAGTTATGAAATAATCCAGCCCATGGCAAGGACACACAGTTCTATAAACAGGAGTCAATTTGAGCTGTTTTGGGAGTAACAATGTTTTTCATAAGACAGTATTGAGCTCTTCCATCAGCATAGTATGTTACTTTCCTGCTTGACATCGGTCACAGAATTTGAAAGACACAACAACTTTACTGGACGTTTCAGCTGCACATGGAAGTTAAGTTCCAAATATTAAAGGTATCACGACCTGTGATATTAAACTTGGCTTTTTTTTCTTTCTAGACATGGTAGCTTTACTACCAAACATTTTTTCTGTTCTAATAATGACAGAATTTATTCTGGGAAATTTTGCCAATGGCTTCATAGCACTGGTAAACTGCATTGACTGGGTCAAGAGACAAAGGATGTCCTCAGCTGATCAAATTCTCACAGCTCTGGCGATCTCCAGAATTGGTTTGCTCTGGGTAATATTAATAAATTGGTATACAGCTGTGCTCCGTACAGGTTTATATAGTTTAGAAGTAAGAACTGTTGTTCATGTTGCCTGGGCAGTAAGCAACCATTTTAACATCTGGTTTGCTACTAGCCTCAGCATATTTTATTTGGTCAAGATAGCTAATTTCTCTAGCTTTATATTTCTTTACCTAAAGCAGAGAGTTAAAAGTATACTTCTCGTAATAATCTTGGGGACTCCAGTCTTTTTGGTTCCTCATATTACAGTGCTATGCTTAGATGAGAATATGCGGACTAATGAATATGAAGGAAACATCACTCAGAAGACCAAATTGAAGGGCGTTTTTCACCTTTCATTTATGACTCTATTCACACTAGTAAACTTCATACCATTTTCTATTTCCCTGACATCTTGTCTGCTGTTAATCATTTCCCTGTGGAAACATCTCAAGAAAATTCAGCTGAATCTAAAAGGATCCCAAGATCTCAGCACCAGGGTCCACATAAGAGCCATGCAAACTGTGGTTTCCTTTCTCCTGCTACATGTCAGTTACTTCCTGGCTCTAATTATCTCAGTTTGGAATTCTGAAAGGCTGAAGAATCAACTATTTGTCATGCTTTGTGAGGTTCTTGCAATGTTGTATCCTCTAAGCCACTCATTTATCCTGATTTGGAAAAACAAGAAGCTAAGATCATACTTGAAAAACATAAGAAAGATTATAAGGTTACCATACCATTAATCAATTTTTTTTGAGGTAAGCAATATAATTTTACAAAATATTGTAAAAAAATTCCTCAGGATTAGGAAGCAATGTGTATTTCACATACATATTCTATGTTATCTTCTTTTAATGGAAGAGTTTGTGATATATTTATGCATTTTTAAGAACTGACAACTTATCTCAGGTGATCATTGCTACTTTCCATTGTAATTTGGATGAAATGTATGTACCACAGTGTATTTAGATTTTATTGTTTGAACCTCCAATCTTTTGGATGGTAATGATATTCAACTCTAAATCGCACATTGAGGATACATATTTGGGAAAGAAATTATTCCACCATGAATTCTTTCTTCATGGTTAATAGAGAACTATCAGAACTTTTGTTAGGAAAAGATGCACACAATGAAATTCAAGATTGACAAACATACTTAAAATAAATTTTATATATGTGTACAAAAACAGTACTGAAGAAGAATGTTAGATTTAATACAAGTAGATGAAAAGCTTATAAAAAATCAAGTTCTACAATAGGAATGAAGAGGAAAGAAAAATTATCATGGCCTGTTTTCAATGCTGCTGTGTTTTCATATGCAGTGAGGAAAGTCATTTGGTAAGTTTTTGAATTAAGAAGACCTATTTTGAAGTTGAGATCTGATGCCAAATTATTCAGTTTTCCCCTAAACCACCTTTGGGCCTCTGAATTGCCAATTATCTTTTCCATCTTGCCAACTAAATATTCTTTTCAAACTTCAGATAAGAACACACACAATTTCCCTATCTTAAAAATACATTCACAATAAGAATAGTAATAAATTATGGTACAAAATTCAATGACAATTCTGCATATATTAAAATTGTATCTATGATGTCTGTTTAATAACTATAGGCAATATCTTTAAGATCTGTTTTATTACAATCTTGTGAAAAATGATGAAATAGTAGATGGCTAGCAAGTTGCATTATAAGAAAGAAATGTATAACCTTATTTGACAACTGAATTTGCATGTCTATTTTAATTCTTAATACTATGAAATTTTAACAACATTTTGTAAAGCTTAAGATAAATCATTTCCACATCTGATTTATCCATTTGTTTTTAGTCATCTATCTGCCCCAGTAGAATATAAGCAGTATAATGCAAGGATCTTGTCTATCTTGTTTCTTCTGACTTCCCAGGACATAAAAGCCAACCCATAGAATACTTGGTCCAAATAATATTTGAATGACTAAATAAACAGGTGAATAAACCATGTTAGGACAGGAAAATCAATGAAAATGAAACTCTCACAAAGTCTGCAGGTCGCATGGATTTCCTGGTTTTGTTTCTTCACCATTCAAATGCCTCTCAGTTCCAATTTCTGCATTAGACTGGATAGATAAAATATTGTCACCAATAGGCTCCACAACAGAGTGAGCCAAATAAAAAATACCTTTAATATTGCTCTCTTAGCAATACTGCTGTGTCTGAGGAGCCTTTAGTATGCAAGTTATCCAGGGAATTAGGCTGATCAAAAGTATGCCATCTTTAACATGTGGCTTCCAAGGTTGCCTTGGAGGCATCTCCATTCTAGATTGCTGGGAGGAGAAAGGCTCAAGGAGGAGGGTTCATGGGGAGAGTTTTTGGGACAGGCCTGTAAATGGTGCACCTAACTTTCACTCACACAACATTGTTCAAAATTCAGTCACGTTGCCACAATCATCTGCAAGGGAAGCTGGGAAATAGAGTCTCTCTATATCCAAGAAAGAAGAGGAGAACATGGAATTTAGGACATGGCAGATGGAGGGCACTTCCTATTAATTCAACTGACATAGCCAATAAGTTATTGTAAAACAAAAGAATTTCCTCTGTTTAGAAGCATGACGTAGCTTGTTCATGTCACTTTATAATTTGTAATGTCCTTACATCAGTATTGAATATCAGCTCTTTTTTCTATCTCTTCATAAATTCTAAAGAATTTAAGTTTCAACTACATATTTCTATCCTTGTTAACCCATAATTGATTCTTCACGGTAGTGTTTGTAGATTACTCATGTATATCCCCAGTATATTTTGCTTCTAACATCTGATTTAGCTCCTGCAATGTTATGTACTAATTATTTACAGTTATTTGCTCTAGCACTTGCATGTATTCTTTGAACTGGAAATAATTACATGAAATTATTTCTATAAATCATATTAAATCAATAAAAATAGTAGATAGGTAGAAGGATCTTATTGATGAGTAACAAATAATGACTAAATTATTAAAACTTAAGATTAATTTTAGTTATACATTAATTTTAATTTTAAATTAAAATTCTTTCTAGCAATTTAAATTCAAATCTAAAATATTTGTGTTCAAACGTATGACTCAGGAGTTGAAAGTACAAATTAATAGAAAATAATTTCTCTCATATTTGCATGTTTACAAACCTGACTTCATATGTTTAGTCATTAGCACAAATGAAAATTTGCAGCTGGTGCCAAGGATAAGTAGACATTATCATTAACTCTGGAAATTATATAGCAGGTGACTCGAACTACTAAAAAAGGTATTCACGAAGCTCTGTCTCTCTTAACAGAACTGTTTGGTTTAGCATTGGAATTACAATATAAATAGAATGAACTATTCTTTCATGAAGATCTCTCAAACTATATGACATGGCAGAATTTTGACTGTAAGTTCTGGAATTATGATGAAAACATTTATAAATATGTCATAAATGGATGCCAATCTGCAACTGGGTAGTCTAAAGCTGTCATTAAGGCATAACATTAGAAATATTTCCTGAGAAATATGAGTTGGAATGAAGGTCTCCTTTCTTGTCATGGCAACAGGAGAACTCATCTTAGGAATACTGGGAAATGGGTTCATTGGACTGGTAAACTGCATCGAATGGGTCAAGAATGGGAAGGTCTCATCAGCTGATTTCATCCTTACCAGCTTGGTATGGCCAGAATCACTCAACCGTGGGTGACACTATCTGATTCATTTATAATGGCACTGTCTTCACATCTGTATGCCACCAGGAAACCAATAAAAGTGGTTACTATTCTTTGGGCACTAACTGATCACTGAACTACCTGGTTTGCCACCTGCCTAAGCATCTTCTGCTTCCTTAAGATGGCCAGTTTCGCCCACTTGTTTTTCATCTAGCTGTAGTGGAGAGTGAACAAAGTGGTTCTTATGCTTTTCCTGGGAACTTTCTTCTTGTTGTCTGTTAACCTCTTAATGCAGGATGCTCTTAGGAGTTGTGGATGAATATCTGTAGAGTACACGAAAGAAACATGACTTTGCATTTAGATGTAAATAAAATGCTCTATCTTAAAAGCTTTCTTCTTAGTTTGACCTATGTTATCCCCTTTCTTCTGTCCCTGACTTCTTTGCTCCTTTTGCTCCTGTCCTTGATGAGACACACCAAGAATTTGCAGGTCAACTTGATGGGCATGAGGGACTCCAGCACAGAGGCCATAAAAGGGCCATAAAAATGGTGAAAACCTTATTCCCCCTCTTGATAATTTGCTTTATTTCCACTCTAATAGCAAGTTGGATCTTCCTTAAGGTACAGAGGTATCATGTTATGATGTTTGTCATGGTGATTTCAACCATCTTTCCCTCAGGCCACTCATTAATTATAATTTTGGGAAACAGTGAGCTGAGACAGATCATCTGAGACTACAGTAGCATCTTAAATTCTCTATGGGAAAAGCCAAACTTTTTCTCCATAGGTAGAGTTTACAAGGGCTTCCTATATTCTATGAGAAAATAATAGAAGACTGTAGGTTCATTTTCAATTTCAATCTTTCTGTCTCCTTCTGGGTGTTGTTAAACAGCACAGGAATTTCCCTTACAAGTGCTGTTAACTAATCATTTTTTCTTAAAGTGATCTGACTTAGTGTTCGATTAATGAAATATCTTTGCTATAATAACACTTGCTTATAAAAGATTATTTGAGGCAAAGATTATAAAAATGTATAATAAATTATTAATAAATGTGTAAGTAATATAGAATACAATATCAATAAATGTATATGAAATAGTCATAGAAAGGGAAAACGAGTAATGCAATTTTTAAACTAAAGATAATTTCAAAATTAGAATAGAAAATGGGTTATAAAATATTAAGGGTAATATAAGAGTAATAATACTTTATTTAAACATAAAAGTATACATAACAGTCACATCTTACTAATTTTGGAAAGGATCTGAAGCAGTGGGAATTTTCATACATTATTCATAGGACTATAAATTGGTAAAACATCTTTATGCAACAGTATAGAATTATGTCATTAAGGTGAAGATGTATATCCTAAGAGACATCAATTGCAGTCTCATTCTAATACACTAAAAATCTTTGGTACATGTGCACCAGGATATATGTGCAAAACTGTATACATCACTATTTTTCTTAATAGCTGAAATTGAGAAGTCATACAAATGTCCATTAGTCAGAAAATAGATAAATTATGGCATACTGATACAATGCAATACTACACAATAATGAAAATGACAAAATCAGATCTACAAACTTTTTAGTTCTTTGTTAGAGAAAAAAAGACATAGACATAGAAAAGTAATTTGTAAAACATAACAGTTATGCAATGCAATGTTTAGATATGTTTGTACAGATGTAGTAGTACTCTGACTGCTGTAATAAAATAATTCAGATTTATTCATAGTAGGTGGGAATGCAAATAAGTAGGTGGGAGAATTTTGCTTGATAGTGGTGCTATTAAAATATAAAAGAAAGATTATATACTGTATTATTATCTAGAAAACGTACATGTCTAAGAAATTGCAATAAAAGCAAAGAACTATTTGTTTGAGATCACTTTTGTCATAATTTTTAGAAAGAAGTAAAGGAAAAAATAGCAAATACATCATCAGAAACACATTGATTTTAAGTTACTCTTGATGAAGTAGTACGTGAAGTTAATCTTTCAATTAGCCCCAATGCTGAGAATGATGTATTTATCATAAGAACATGGAGAAGATTGGTAGTGTTCTCCTATCATAGTGAACTCTACTACTTAGAAAACTGGATGAAGACACATCTGTCAGTTAGAGTTCTCCCATTTAGCTGCCACCATCATCATCATCATTATTATGTATCACATTTGATGATTTATATTTAAAGTGTTTACATACATATGTCGGACAATGTCCAAGTAATTTCCTAAAGATCATTGTGGGTAACTTACCTTAGTAAATAGTAAAATTCAAGTCAAACTGAATCCATTTAGAAATTGAGTGTTCTTTACTCTAAGTGCACTGCTTGAGCAAGTTATTTATGGGAGATCTTAAAATCACAGAGTTTAGGCACAAAGCCCTGTTTCCAATATTGGAAGTAGAATAAAAAGACTACTGAAAAATTGAGTCATGGAATAGGATTGCATTATTGTGATGATGGATTACATTTTGCTTATTTGATTGATATTTAGAGATCAAATCTTGCTCCTTGTCTTGCCGTATAACAAGAGCCTGTGGTGATGGCCCAGCAATAGATTATCTGCCAAGAAAGAAAATCCATTAACAGTTCCTTTCAACTTGGTAGAGAATGACTAGATGATCACTTTATCTTTTCCAAAAGTTTGGGAAAAGAAGGCAATTGTTAGCATTTTCTTAACACTACTAAAAATAAAAAAGCTTTAAGAGCTTGGTATTATGAGTGTTTAATCACTTTCCCCATTGGAAATGATTTATGGAAGAAGACCAAGAGATTGTCCATGTCACTGAAAGAATAAGACTGAGAAAATGAATAATCAAGATTAAGAATTCAATAGACATAAGTAACAACCAATTAGACACAGTGGAAGAAAGAATTAGTGAATTGAAAGATAACTACTCAGAGTGAAACATAAAGAGACAAAGAGATGGAAAATACAGGCTAGAGGGTAAGAGACACAAACATGACAGTCAGAAGTGTGACATTCTTCTGGAATTCTAGAACATAGAATAGAGAAAATGAAGTGGTAGGAATATTGCTGAGATTTTTTCTAAAAGTGATAAAACATTTCAATTAATTGATAGAAGATGATAAGATAATGAGATAAGATAACAATAAAATTTAACTCATGAACACTACAGGAAACAAAAGACCAAGAAAAAATATCTCATAAGTACCCAAAGAAAAAGAATAGGTTATATTAAAAGGAATGACTATTTGAATAATTTTTAAATAAGCTTTGTATGTTCCTGGGGGACAGTTATAGTTCAGCTGATTGTCAATTTAGGTTGGATATTGCTGGGAAATCTTGACTCCAGAGATCTCTCATTCTCCTCCTAGGGCCTGTGTATTAGCCTGGGAAGGTTCTCATGGTAATTGAGGAAGAGGAATACTAGGAAAGCCCCAATGTGGAAGTCATTTTAAATCTCTTTGTGTCACGTCACCTAATCCCCAATTCATCAAAGGAAGTTTACATGATTGAGCTCAGAGCCAAGGGACAAGGCAGTCATCTTGCCCATGTTGGAGGATACTACAAAATTACTTTCCAAAGCCTGTAGCTACAGTGAAGATAGTGAAGATTAAAGAATTTCAGGAAAATGAAGCAATCTATCCCAGTTTACACTCTTGGTTAAATTTTTCAGGTTCCTCCCATATATAAAATATGCTCATTCCTATCTGAGCATCTCCCAAAGTCTCATTTAGTTACAGAATTAGGCTTGAATTCCAGGATCTTATGATCCATATTTGGTTTGGTTTGTCGCTCTTCATTTGGTAATCAAGGAATTAAAAAGATAAGTTATCTCCCTGACAAAGATGTAGTACACAGGTTTGAAACAGGACAGGATAAACATAACAAAAAGTCCCATTCGAAGAGGGGAGGAAGAGAAACATACAGCAATTCTAGCTCATAGGAATTCAGAAATAATGTGTGGCAAATACTTTCATGACTCTCTTGTTTGTTCTCTTTCTTTAAAAATTACTTATTTTAAAGTTTTTTCTAGCTTTATTGAGCTAAAATTGACAAAAAATTTAATATATTTAAGGTGTATATCATAATTTTTTGATATATATATACATTATGCAAGAATTCCCACAATCAAGTTAATTAACAGACCCGTCACTTCACATTGTTACTTTTTTAAACGAAAAAGCTTAAGATTTACTCTCTTAGCAAAATCAATGACACAATTTAGTATTATCAACCATAGTTACCATGCTATACATTAGATCTTCAGAACTTACTCATCTGATAACTGAAAGTTTGTTCCCTTTTAGCAACCTCTCCACTTTTCCCCCACCCCCAGCCTCTGGCAACCAATTTTCTACTCTCTGTTTCTATGAGTTTGCCCTTTTTCGTTTTTTTTTAGGTCTCTCATATAAGTGCATTGTTTGTCTTCTCTGTCTGGCTTATCTCACTTAGCATTGGGGCTCTCAAGATCCATCCACATTGTCACACATGGTAGGATCTCCTACTGTTTTAAGGCTGAATGATATTTCAGTATATATATAGTATATTAAATTATACTATATTATATATATATCATATTAATATACTATTACATATATTGTATCTATCTATCTATCTATCTATCTATCTATCTATACACCACATTTTCTTTATGCATTTGTCTATGAACAGACACTTTGGTGGTTTCCATATCTTGGCCATTGTGAATAACGTTGCAACA